GATAGATAGATAGATAGATAGATAGATAGATAGATAGATAGATAGATAGATAGATAAAACCAGCAGCATATGTGGAAGTAATGCTATTGTCATTTTTACCATATTGTGTGCGTTTTGGTCCAAATTCCAGCTCTTCCGAGTGGATTTGCTTCGTCATCCGTCGACTCTCTTTCCTCCTCCGCCTGCAGACTGTACTGTCGCACAGCCTGGTAAACTGTCATGTTGTACGGCAGCAGATGGTCACCGATGTAGAACTGTAGTCTGTGACGCACACTACCAGAGTTCAGGAACTGCGCTGCCTGAAAGACCAAAACAACCCATGTGTTTTACTGTGGAATTTAATTGCAAATTCAGAAGATTATGCAAATAATAAAGCTTTAGTAGACGAGAATGCAAAATAAATAAATAAAAAAAAAATACCAGTGATTCGTCTATTTCATCATCTGAACCGTCATCATCACTGTCTTCATCTTCTTCCCTGATTCGGCCGTATCCTAAAGAGAAAAGATTTCCATGTTACGTGAACTGATTAAGGATTAACAAAAGTTTTTTTTGTTTGTTTGTTTTGTTTGAGGAGACCCCTGGTGTTTACCTCTGGATTAACAGAAACATGCTACATTTTAACATCACTACAGCTAATCGTCCCTCACCTCTGACCACAAGATATCTCTCAATTGCCTGCACCAGAGCCAGGGGGTCGATCTTCACAGGGCCACCTTTCCACTGTTTGACATTAGTGCAATCTGGGTGTCTCTGCAGCTGACACTTCAGCTGATGTGTGTTGAAAAACTTCAAAGCTTGAGATCCCCTGAAGAGAGTGGAAGAAGAAAAAAAAAAATCAATCTCATAAAAAGACCTTCAGGTTTTAGACTTCAGATTTGTGCAGAGTCACAGACCTGCTGCCATTGCCGTTGCCACTGGGGAAGTCGTGCACTTTGACAGGAAACTGCTCCATTTGGCTCAGACAGCTGTTCATTTTGTGCACAAGTGCCAGATAGGGAGCATTCTCTATAGGATCCAGACGACTTAATGACTCCATTCCTGGAACCTGTGAACCACAAGGTAGTGGGAAAACAACAGAGAAAACACAACACAGGTCAACAATCTTCAAGCCTGTGCACAACACTCACTATTCAGAAATCATTCATGAGAGAGAAACAGGTCATTGTAACACCACACACAAACTGTTGATTTTAGCAGAAGGAATCTTTCAAAGGTCTCTCACCGGACAGCCAGTGAACACGTGGAGGAACCTCTTGAGCCGCATGTCACGACTTAGCAAGTCTCTGTCTGTGTTGGAGGTAAGATAGACCAGCAGCTGCTTCACCAGCCCACTATGCTGGATCTCAAAAGACGACACGTCAGATTCTGATACAATAATGGAGATCTCCACTAGACACTCCAAACCACCATCCACCTGGGAAATACAAAACATGTCTTAGTCCTGGTGTAAAATATGTAATACTCTCAAGACAAACTTAAATTACRTTGCTCATTTTGAATCACACTAAAGGGCTTGATAAACTGATCCGTAATCCAGCAGCTTTTACAGGATTTACAAGAAAATACAATATTTCATTACTAAATATATTTTAAAACTAAAAATATTTTATTTAAGGCATTTAAAAAGCTGGAAATAACACATTCTATATTGTCAAGTTACAAAACACACAAACATAATCCCCCTTGCAAAACAGTGACTTCCTGTAAAAACCTCCACATCCATCCTGGATCATTATTTGGGTTTCCCTTTAACCCTTTAAATGAGGAAAAAGTAATGTTTTCTGTGAGTTTCTTGTATAACTCTTCAGTTCTACTTTGTGTACATTTTAGAGTAATTTTTTACCTGCAAGTTAAGCTGCTCAGTCGCTGTGCAAAGTCTCTGCAGTACATTCAGTGCAGGGTTACTGCCGTCCACATTTTCAGAGTTGAAGTAGCGCTCCACAAATTTACTTGCCTGTTCTTTGATCCAGGCTTTAATTTTGTCTCTACAAAAATTCAGATTAGAAGAAGAAGTCAATACAGTGACAGAAAACATGCTACTAAAACCATTAGCATGTGTCATTGATGTACCTGTTATTTGAAATTGAGTCCTTGGGGGGTACTCTTGCCAGACCACTGACTCCTGCTGTGCGTGACGGCTCAGAGTTGGCGTTGTTGGTTTGAGCACCAAGCTTCCCCCAGGTCTTAGGATTGAGGCTGGCCAAGAAGGATGACTTGGGTGACTGTGTACTTGTAGGGCTTTTGGCTAAAGAGAGAGAGAAAAAAAAGTTGGGTTATGACCTGATAAACAACAGATAAACAATCTGCAATAAGCTACTGAAAAGTACTAGAATTCTTACAGTGAAACAAAACAATTAAAATGTAAAGCAAGAAAATAATAAATATAACTTGGCCATAAACATTTCCTAATTTAACTGATAAAATAGTATGTATTATGTTCCAGTTTAAACATTTAAAAGCCTAAAAATCTATTTTAAAAATATTGCGTATGAGGAAACGCTTACCCTGATTGTCTGCTTTATCATCATCTCTCGGCGGAGAGTATTTAGGTCTTCTGGGTCCTCTTTTTGGAAGCCGTTTTCGCTTAAGGACGTCACTTAACCGCCTTTGTGGAAAAGAAAATTATTTATGGCAAAGTCTAAAATGAATTACTTGTTACTAACTACTGAATGACAAACAGTTTCGTTCACAATTTGTTTAATACAAATATGTTGAGATTTTTTTATTACAATGATTTAGCTACAAATACAGTAAAGTAACGCAGGAATCAACTGACTTCATGAGCTTTGTTTCAGAAGTGTAACCAAGTGTAAAACCTCTTCCTATTTTTAGCAAAAGCAGAGCCACTGGATCTCCCACACTCACCCCTGTGGGCTGAGGTCCAGTGAGTCGTCCATCGTGTGCTGGAAGCTCGGGGAGCCCAGGTCAGGAGTTGCATTATTAGCAGAAGTTGTGGATGAATTGCTGATGGTTGTGGTACAGAGGCTGGTTGTACCACTGGAGCAGGCCTTTGGGGGACTAGTGACGAGAAAGCTCTCAGACTCTGCGAGGTTCTTCACCTGGTGCATTACACCTGGGAGAGAAATTAAAATGAAAAAGACTTAAAACAGCAAAACACACAAAAAGACATAATCTGGAAACGCTCAGAATAAAAACATTCTTGTAAAGCTGAACATTGTGGGTTATGTGATGTAATATACATTCACATGACCTTATGCAGTACCTTCTCTTCTGAAATAAACACTGAAGACATCAGGCAGCTTCTGCATGAGAATTTCTGCCATCTGCAGAGAACCCACAACAATCTTCAGGTCCTGGCTGGACAGCATGGAGGCAATGTGACTGTTGAAAAGAGAACAAACAAAACTTTACTCCCATCTTCAAAATTGTCACCAGTAGTTTATTTCTACCTTCAAAATACTGCAGCACTCTTACCTGGACACAGCATGATTCCTCAGCACATCCTTCAGCAGCTCCGCATCAGCAAAGTAAATGATCCTGAGGATGGCTCTAAGGCACTTGTGTCGGACAGCAGGGCCAGCTGATGAGCTGTACACCTCATACAAGACCCCGAACAGTGTTTTAATGAAGCACTTAGCCAGCTCAGGATCTTCCTTCATCAGCTGGGCTCGTGCGTCTTCTCGACGGACCTCTTGATGACTCCCTAAAAAGAGCCACAGAAAAGGTCAGACTTTAAAACTGCAACAACCAATAAACCTAGATATTGTAGCATTTTCCTGCATATAAATATTCATTTCTGATTAGATTTCACTTGTTCCTATGACAACGGCTCAGGAAGGAAGAAAAACCTCCACTTTGACTTCASACTATTTTCTAAAGACTTTTGCATGGAACTTCCTTTGTGGCTCGAATTAACATCTCTCACACAAACCCCCACCAGACGTCCTGACGCCTTACTGTTAATAGATAAGAATTGCCACATTCCTGTTCCGAAGCCCACAAGTTCTATTGCTTCCATCCCCCATAAGCACAGGACTGTCTGTTGGTTCCTCTTCATAGGGATCATAAATGCCTTTAACCAGACTCTTCAGTGACTGAGAACAAAGGACCTACATTCTTCATTAAATGTGAAAAAAAGGAGAAAAGATAAAGGAACTTGTGTATCTAATGTTTTCTGTCTTATTGCAAAGAATGTCATCTTATCCATTTTTTACAGAAAATAACTAAAAAGACCATAAATGATCTACTAAGTTTTGCTTAGTTAACTATTCAATAGCTGTGTGTATTGTGGTGTTAATTGTTTTGATGAAATGTTTTCCTGAAGAAGATGTGTTTTATTCCTTGATTTAATCCTTAATAACTTTAGGACTTGAATCTTTAATAATTAAGTGTGACACTCTAACTTTACTGAGGCAAGCAGATGTCTCTCCCTTTAATTAGATGCAAGATAATTAAACTAAAACACTCCCTTTTTCTTTGTCCTGAAGTAAAGTTTTCCCTCCAAAACAGATTTGATTTGTAAAAAACTTTTCCTGTATAAGGTGTAACATTTTTATTGGCCAACTAAAACCTTGACTCCGCCCATAACAGAGGTTTTAAAAAGTTTAGCGCACTCCCAATCTCTTAGAAGACAAAGTAGAAGACAAGGACAGAAGAAGAAGACAGAGAAAGAGAGTTTTTCAACATCAGAAGCCAGAAACAGCTTTCCAGAAGCTCAACAGAGGCGCTGTCTGCCAGCCCCTCCCCATGGACTGGGCAGGATGGTGGCCCTTCTGCATCTCCCACTGGGTTGAACGTACAGCCAACGTTTAATATCGACTCAACATCTGAGTTAGTTTTTATAGAAGTTAAATAAACTAATTGYAATTCTTGAGTCGTTTTTAGTTTGTTTTTCTCTACAAAGTTGAAATCAAATTAAGAAGTCTTGCAGCCGCCTGGTAGGACTGGACCCCGTTGTCACCAGCTCACCACCCACCTTTCTGACTGAAGGGCCAGCAGCTGAACAGACACCCTGAGTGTCCGACCGGCCACTACACTGAAGCAGTTCTTTGGGGAACATCACCTGAGATCCTTCGGTCAGCCGATGACTACTTGTATGAGATTTGATAAACTAAATGATTTTTCTCTCTAATTTAACTAGGACCCCCTTAGTTAAAACCCAGCTAAAAGCAAAACTCACCTCACCTCATTCCAAGCCTCAAACTCACCTCTCAATGTTTATTGTATTTGTTTGTTTGTTTGTTTGTTTGTTTATTCACTTGTGATTGCAAACTGTCAGTTTTACCTGATTCAACATGTCATCACTCATTACTCACCATAGTTGTAAACACATTTAATCTGTAAATAAATGGCCCGTGGAGAAGGTGCCAACATAAGTTAATGTCACTTTTGTGTCTTGATAAAGTATTATTGGTTCTGATAAGGACAAGGACTCAAACGATTTTGGGTACATTTATTGTGAGACTGATTACAATAAAGTTACAGGTTTTCGTCTCTTTCCTGGGTTAATTTTTGATCAAATTAAGAGCATGGTGCCTCGAGGTAAGATAATTTGCATATTTAAATAATTCACAAATTATCCATTTTAGAATATACCCAAAACCCCATGCAATATTAATTTATAAAACCTGATGTTTATACTGAGTTGTAAAGTAACTAAGTACAACTACTTTGTTACTGTACTTGAGTAGAATTTTAGGGTATCTGTACTTTACTTGAGTCATTATTTTTCAGCCTACTTTTTACTTCTATTTCTTACATTTTCACACAATTATCTGTACTTTCTACTCCTTACATTTAAAAAAAGAAGTAGAAAGTCGTTACTTTTATTTCATTTTTACTTGTTTTCATTCCAGCTTGTTATTGTAAAAAATAAATACTATCCTATAAATTGTGCCTCCTAGATAGAGTGAATTTAATTGTGGTTGAATGAGAAGTATAAATATATTAAATTCTGATACTGTTTTAGTTTGTACACAAACAAATCATGTCACACTCCAGCAGGACATAATCATTAAAAGGACTGTMCTTAAGTATTTGTATTTCATGAATTGTATTATTATAATTGGCTTCAGCCCTCAGATAGATTTTCATTTTGGGGAAAAGGTTTAGACAGCATTGATATATGTATATAAACTGAAACAGCTAGTCTGGTTCATCCTAAATTTAACTTAAATTAACATTAAATATGACAGTCATTTCTGCAGTTTTTGGGGGGAGGTCACCTCCTAATAAATGTCATTAGAGAAAATCTAACTGCTCATTTTAAATCAATCCTTTTACTTTTAATACTTAAGTACAAAAAATATCAAATACTTTAAGACTTTTACTCAAGTAATATTTCTAAAGGAGACTTTAACTTTTACCAAAGTAAATTTTTGGTAAGATACTTGTACTTTTATTCAAGTATCACTTTGTGGTACTTTATACCAGTGGTTCCCAGCTCTGGTCCTGAAGTACCCCTATCTAGCATGTTTTACATGTTTCCCTGCTATTCAGYAGGTCTTCAGAAGATTGTTAATCACTCATTCATTCAAACCAGGTGTGTCAAGTTAGGCAAACATCTAAAAATCACTGCTTTAAATGCTGACCAACACCTCAAAAGCTTCTCTGAGCTTGATGAGACATTTTCAAAATATAATATTCACTTAGTTTTATGTGTTTTAGTATTGTCTCTGGAAGCCATTGATTCTTTGCCATTTATTTGTAAATAATAAATCAGGTAACATGTATTAAAGCAGTGACTCTCAGCCCTGGTCCTCAAGGACTCCTTTTCTGCATGTTTAGATGTTTCTCTGATTTGACACACCTGGTTTGAATGAATGTGTGAGTAACAATCTTCTGAAGACCTACTTAATAACAGGAAAACAAGTAAAACATGCTGGATAGGGGTACGTGAGGATCATGATTGGGAACCACTGCTTTATACAACACTGCATTTATACTGTTTTCAAAGCAGATAAGAACTTCTCAACACTTAAAATTTATTTTGACTTAACACGAGCCTTTGGGGGACAGGCCTGTACTAAAACAGAATTTGCACAACAATGTAAAAAGTGACGAAAGAAGAGGACTATACTTGGGCTGAACTCTAAAAGACCATCAACGCACACAAGGCCTAATAGTTGTAGTGGATTTGTACAAAAAAATGATTTGTTTTTAAGACAAAAAAGGAACATTTTAAGTGGAACAAGCCACATTGATGACATCTGATGACAATGACATCGTAGAGTTTGAAGGAGTCAGTTGTACTTCTCCTCAAATATCTAGCTCAAATTCCTTTAACAGACAAATGAAGCTATCCATCTGCAGCTGAGGGCACAGTGACCAGGACAAATTGCTGTTTCAGGCCCACGTAGGGCGTAGCAGGCAACAGTCAAACACAATGCTGAGGACTGAAAAATAAAAACTCCCAAAACCATGTGGAGGAAATCCAGGATATTGTTGTTTTGTGGCACCGTGGGTCCTGGAAACAGCCACCTACTTCTGCACAGGAACTGGACTAAGACAAAAGGTAGGATGTTCATTCTAGGACTGCTCTTTGGTTTTGCAAGTGAAGCTCTAATGCTACGTTCACATCAAATGCATTTTGAGCAGAAAAAAAGCRCCTAACACCTCCAGTTGGACACACCATGTTCAGACTGGGACACAGAGCAGATGCACATCTGAAGAGGGAGGCGCGTCTTGGTTTTTTCCTGTCTGTCTTCGGCGAATAAAATAAAGAAACAATAAAGAAAATGTCTTTGCTTTATTTACTAAAGAGCAAGCAAGCGTTGTGCACAGCAGATGATTAATTCACCAGATGGTTTAGAGGCAATTTGTTTGGTTAGTTTCGCCACTCTGCGAGCTGGCAAACTATTTTTTGTCCCGAGCCCAGTTTAACACTGCGGTCAGTTTAACGAGCCGCTGACCAACATCTGTGCTGATATCTCCAGCCAGAACAACAACTGCAAACGGTCGATTTCCTGTCCATCTGTATCGGTTTAGTGGGCAACAATGAGGAAACTGTCACCTAGAAAATGAGTCTCTCTGATTGATTGTCAAGACGCGTCGAGCGGCAAAAGTTCAGATTTTTGAAATCGGGCGTCGGCTGCTTTGGCCACACTGCATGTGCACAAAATGCTCTGCTGCACCTTCCACATTCCTTGCGCGCCACGCCAAATGGACCTGACGCGCTGCAAGACCCCTTGAGGCGCATCCGCCATTGACTTTGCATGTAAACTGGCTGCTCCTGCAGCTCCAAACGTGTTCGGTGTGAATCCACCTTAAGTGTGGTTTGAACAAGACCAGAGAGGCAGCCAGTTCAAGACTGCACTGTCTCCATGTCAGTTAACTTCTACATGTAAGACAAAAAGGTATACCAGCTACAGTTTGAGTGTCAATGATCAGAGCACGACAGAAGAGAAGAAAGTCAGCAGCCTGGAGATGCATTTTGATGCATCAATGCAGAATTCTGAGAGTCTTGTCTATCAGTCTTGAAAAACTTTTGCCTGACCGCATTACCATTTTGTTACATTTTTTTAAGTACATATTTCTTAATCCCAGACATAAAAAGGAATATTACCATCATGTTTTTTGACTTGTACACAATTAAAATTTACAAAAAGACAATTCAACAAACCCCAAATACTTTGAACTGTTCTGATTCATCACAAGTAACAACAGCTATAAAACAAAACTTTACATATAAAAATAATAGTGGAAAATAAGGGAATCTTTTCACCGTTTGTTTATTTGAACTAAATTATTTAATTGATTATATTGAATGGTTCCTCATCACATCTAAAACTACTGTTCTCCATATAATACAGTATATACACGTGTCTGACCTGTATTGGGGTTGGCAAGAGGGTTGGGCTTCCTCTGGATTCCACGTGCTGTTCCTGTATCTTCATTGATCTGCTGCATAGAGTTGAAGTCAATGGTGTAGACACGACCCAGAGTTGACAAACTGATCTCATCTTCTCCGTTCTGATGGGCTGTCTGCAGAACAAGGCAGTCACCAAACACACTGTTAATATCTTCTTCAGATAGGCCCCATTTTAGAAGGACTCACGTTTACTGACTACAAGTAGTTGGAATGTTATTAAGTAGCATTTTGATCAAGGAACATGGTAAATGTATATATTTATATAGGAAATGACGACAATGTGTATCACAGTTATTCATCTCAAATATAATAAAGTTTGGCAATAACTGCTCTAAGAAATCTCTTCAAACTGATACATTTGTGGCAGACAAATAATTTGTAATAGCCATGGTTTGAATAACAAACCAAATAGCATAAGCATTATTACATATTGTTTTCTTAAAACGAACACAGTAACCATCAACACAAAATAAAAAACTCCTTCAGATTGTCTCAGTAGAGATGAGAATTGTTTAAACTTCTTAAGGCTTCTTGAATTCCCTTTAGTGATGCTGACTGAGTGGTGCGGGCAGCATCTCAGTGCTAAATTAGAGTAAAGAAAATGCAATTAGCAGAATATAGAAACATCACAAACAAGTGCAGCAACAAGTGTTTTATTGAACTTTTCTATTAATCTGCAATAATCCAAGTTAATCTGTTTAAACAACTGTCTCATCCAACCTATCTAAGTTGTAGCTTCTGAGTCTTTCTCAGAAGTTGCCCATCATACAGTTACACTAATCTGGAAGAATTAGGCCAGTTTTGCATGATATAAACTGAGAGGCTACCAAGAAATTTCAACAAAGGAATTTTTTTCAGAAAAAAACAAATAAATAAATAACAATAAAAACGTACATTTTCAAAACAATTAAAGTTTATGCTAAAAACATGGTTAAAAGTTATTTGAAAACAGGTGCCCTAATGACATGAATTTTTAGATGCTTAAGACAAAAGAAATAAAATTTAAGAACACTGATTTGCAAACAATCAAGGTGCAACCAGCATCACACTGCATGCGTTTTGTTCTGAGTGGACCTGGTAGACTGAGAAAAGTAGATAAACTAATAAAGGAGAAATGCTACCTTAGACCTCTTCAGCATGAACTCTGCATCAGCTAAACAGCTGAAACTTGAACAAAGTTGGGTGTTAAAACAGAACAAAGACATCTAAAATCATCCACCCTGGTAGTTGAATGAATAAAAAGATTAAATTTAAGGTTTTAATTTAAAGTCGTATGAATTGAATTAAATGAAAGACTTCAGTCAACCCAACCAAGGTCTGTAACAAGTCCTTATAAACTGTTAAAACTACAGTTTAGAACAAAATCCATCTAGATCTACTTGAAACCAGCACACCAACATGTCATACTGAGTATTTGTAAGTTTGAGACGCAAAACATGTGGGTGACTTTTTCATCTTTACCTCAATAATGCGACTGTCAATGCGATTGTAAGGATGCCAGAGGCCCCGGTCATCCCTCCACTGCCAGATTGCACCCTCTGTTGTCTGGGAACTGCCCTTCTTTAACATTACATCAACGGCAAAGATGCCCTCTCTGGGAAGGCAGGGCATCAGCTCACTGTAAGAGGAACAAATGTGATTTTAGAAAGACATAATTTACTCCCTAATTTGCTTAAAGTTAACATACCAGAAAGAAGAGCATTTTTATTTGTTGTATATTGTTAAAAGAAGCATAATAATATAAATAAGAATAATTATTGTTACATCCCTGAATTGTCTTTAATGATTATTATTTTTACATTTTAGGGAAAAAGACCTAAAATTTGTCAGTCATAGCACAGAGTTCACACTATGTGCAAATAATGCATCTGGACTGCAAAACTTAGCACAAGTTTTCAAAACTAGCTATAAATCAAAAATACCTTTTTCTGTGTCCACTGTGATGTAAATAAATGTATATGTTTATATTACCATATGAGAGAGGTCAGTTCATAGAGCTCCTGAGGGCTTCTGGGAACTAACTCAATCTGCTCCTGGCAGCTGCCATTTGATGCACCACACAAGAGGAAACGCAGAGTTTCTGCTATGTCTGTGTACAGGGAGAGAAAGATATCCTTATTTTAAATTGCACTTTTACAAATGAGAAATTAAATCAGATATTTTTATAAATGTTTGATTAATAAGTACAAGGTTAAGCACATAAAATATCAAAAACAGTAGTTAATGAAGAGACATGAAATCTGGATGCTCAAACTAAAACTGATAGAAGGCTGTGAAATGTGGATATGTTTTCACCAGAATAGTGACAACTGAAGAGTGCCATGAAGTTAATGAAACAAGAAAACTGAGCTTTGTTTAAAATGTACTGTTCTCAGGTGTGTTACTGCATTTCTCTTCATTTAAATCAGAAAAGTGAGCTAGTTTAAACTTAGACATAAGATGTATTTTTGTTGTTAGTTTAGTCAGAGAAAAAAAAAAAGATGTGGTGCAAGTTACTCACTCTGTTTCATAAGCTGGACAGCTAAACTCGGGCAGTTCGAGCACATCAGGGAAAGCATGCGAACGACCATGATGAACATCCCGGAGCTGAGAACAGGTGGCGTGACGACCAGCAGCTGCTGAATGTTGGTCAGCAGGTCCCGGGATGCCACCTGCTGCAGCAGGTTCTGTCCAATAAAACACAATTGCACAGGTCTGATCAACAACTGGGCTGAAAATTGCAGCAACAATTCAGTGATAGTAAACCACAGACACACAAACATTTAAACCATGGAGGTACTGACCTCTTCGTGTTGAAAGTTGTCTACCAGTCTGGCGAAACAGAGGCAAGTGCTTTCAACTGACTTTTTATCCTGAAAAAGAGGAACATATATCATATTATCATATAAATATTTAAAACACAAAATATTTAAGTGCAAAGAAATATTTTATATGACATCAAAACCAGACATTTATTTGTTTTTTTAACTGTAGTACAGTTGTTACAACTACGCATGTAGAAAAAACTAAAATAATAAAATAAGTTTTATACAGTATAATTTGGGGAAGTGGTGTATCAGTGAGTGCTCATTTAAAACATTAAAAGTGAAAAATAAAGTGTAATWATGACTTGAGCTGCCTATCCAAAATTACATGAGGAAAGTTGTCAGTTTGTTTTCTTTTAGTCTTAAAATGCCTAATGTTTATTTCATCTCAGAAAACACCAACAAGCAGCTATTTTTGTCTCGTTTTGGGCACGCATACCTGGTGTGTGAGTCTCTGAGTTAACAATGAGAGAGAGTCATCAACAAAGTGGAACTCGTCTGGAGTGATGCTCTGGCAGCAGTTGGCTGCAATGGCCAAGGCATTTCTCTGAGCATTGATGCTAAAAAACTCCAGGTAGAGGAGGCAGTCAGCAAGCCCACCCTGTCAGGGGCAACACAGTTTAGAGTGGAGGTTAGAGAAGGGAGGACAGTTCAAAGTGACAGTAAAGTAAGAAAAGAAAAGATACTTACAGCCTGCAAAATTGCTTTGCTGTGTCGTCTTGACAACATTTCCAAAGCGGTCAGGGCCTGTTCTGCTACGTCAATAAACTGAATCACCTGAAGCTACAGTCAAAGAAGCAAACCGTTAAGTGTTTGAAAACATCCAATTATAATTAGGTGCTTATGGAGGTTTATGTTTTTACCTTCTCCAGGAAGACGGGAATAGCATCAACCACTACAGCTGAAGATCGAGGGAGGGCCTCCATCATGTAAGTGAGCGCTCGTGAGGCGTGATTCATCTATGAGCATGAAAGAAGCGAGCATAAACCTTTGCAATTAAAAAAATATATATATTTGTACAACAATAAAATTTATTTTACTTACAATTTCAAAGTGATGCTCCATTTGTAACAGCGTAATCTGTGAACAAGTATTGGGAAATGTGATAACCGTGAGATAAATGTGCATTTTCAATAGAAAAAGGTTACGTTACACAAAATCTTGGTCACATTATTCAAAATAAACAAACAGTGTGGCAAAGCTGCAAAATACATACAGCCAATATTACTATCTAAGCATTTACTGACCTAAAATAAATCAGACTTACCAAAGCGGGCACAACATTCTTGACAGGAAATCCACCAAGTGTTTCCTCGTTGCCCATCACCAGCAGCTGACACATCTCTATTGCAGCTTGGAGCTGTTGAGACTCATCACCTGTAGCTTGAAGTCCCTGCAGCAGCTGCTGAGCCTTAGAGCCTGAAAACAAGGGTGGGATTCATTCAGTAAGTTACATAAGACTTTAGATTATTTGTGTAACCCTGGTTCTCACAGTATCCTGTGTGTGTGTGTGTGTGTGTGTGTGTGTGTGTGTGTGTGTGTGTGTGTGTGTGTGTGTGTGTGT